AGGCATCGGGGGCGCAACGCCCTCGACCTATTCTCAAACTTTAAATAGGTAGGACGGTGCGGCTGCTTTGTTGAGCCGCACCAGGGAATCGAGAGCTCCAAGTGGGCCATTTTTGGTAAGCAGAACTGGCGATGCGGGATGAACCGGAAGCCGGGGTTACGGTGCCCAACTGCGCGCTAACCTAGATCCCACAAAGGGGTGTTGGTCGATTAAAGACAGCAGGACGGTGGTCATGGAAGTCGAAATCCGCTAAGGAGTGTGTAAACAACTCACCTGCCGAATCAACTAGCCCCGAAAAGTGGATGGCGCTAAAGCGCGCGACCTATAGGCGGGCCGTCGGGGCAAGAGCCAGGCCCCCGATGAGTAGGAGGGCGCGGCGGTCGCTGCAAAACCCCTGGGCGTGAGCCCGGGCGGAGCGGCCGTCGGTGCGGATCTTGGTGGTAGTAGCAAATATTTCAAATGAGAACTTTTGAAGGCCCGAAGAGGGGAAAAGGTTCCATGTGAAACGGCACTTGCACATGGGTTAGTCGATCCTTAAGGGTCGGGGGAAGCCCGACAGACAGCGTGTTCAGCGCGTGCTCCCAAAGGAAATCAGGTTTAAAATTCCTGAACCGGGACGCGGCGGCTGACGGCAACGTTAGGGAGTCCGGAGACGTCGGCGGGGGCCTCGGGAAGAGTTATCTTTTTCTGTTTTAACAGCCTACCCACCCTGGAAACGGCTCAGCCGGAGGTAGGGTCCAGCGGCTGGAAGAGCCCCGCCGTCGCGTGGTGTCCGGTAGACCATATCGTATCTTCAAATCCACATCTTTGAGTTGAGCCTCTTCGAAAGTCGTACCCCGATAGAACCGTATTCCTAAACACAGCTCCCTCCAGATTCGCCTTCCCAAAATTCACCCTGTCTATAACAGCATTCGTAAAGTCCGTCCCTGCCAAAAAAACAAAAAATTGAGACATTTTTTTCATTGTCCAATAATCTCAAAGTTCTTTTGTGAAATATATGATTAAAACGAAAACAATTAATTAACCCTTGAAACTTGCTCCGACGGCATAAGCCTTGGACATGATCACTTCAGTCATGTCCGCTCCATCGAACTTGGCATCGGACATTAATGCAGCAGCTAGAGACTTGCCCTTGAGGTTCGACTTCTCGTTCGTGTAATCGCAGAATCGGAGATCCAGTGGCTTATCGTAAACCCCGTTTGCTTGGCCGATTGTGTTGCCGACGAACGCGCGTTCGCACCTGTTCGGATCGTTCGACAAAGGGGGCAGCCTCTACAGTCCAAACCCCCAACAACTAATTAAGTTTCTTCCAAGTAATAAATTTATCAAATCAACATACTGCCCAATTTTAAGAAATTAAACATTTTTTAAAAAATAAAAAATAAAAAAGTTAGGGTTTATTGAATTTTGACCTGAGATGCAGCGATCACAGGCGAAACAGTGGCGACAGCCCAAACAGCGAGGAATCCACATGCTACATTCCTAATTTCCTTAAATTGGGATGAACTTTCTACAGATTCAGAAGCGTCGTTTGTAGCTGCATACAATCAATATTCATTCTCAGCAACTAAATTATGCATAATTTAAAAAAAAAAAAAAAAAAAAAAAAAGAAGGTAAAAATCGGAGCTTAAATATATAATGTATTACTTACAAGAGCATCGTATTTGAGTTGGATGATGAACGATTTTGTGCTGAGTTGAAGAATTCCGAAAAGAGAAAGCCCTTTGTTGGAGATTAATTGAAAGAGTTGCCATTGTTGTGTTTTCTCGATTTGTCTGTGGGATTTTGTTTTGGAGGCGTTGGTTACTTATCCATATGAATATGAATGAATATCTCTGTCTGACGTGGCACTAGCTGATGCTTGTTGATTTTTTTCTGAAGCAGTGTGGCTGCTTTTCAAATTGTTTTGGGCTTTCTTTTAATGGAGAATTTGAGATTTCTCTTGATTTGAGATCTTTTTTGTTATAAATTTGTTCACTTCTGAATTTCTTGAAGATCCAATTTTCGATTTTTCGGTTTTCGATCTCATTTTAATTTTCATTCCGATGTTCAAAATAAGGTTTTTCGTTACGTTTTTTTTTTTTTGGTTTTAAGAGAAAAACTTTGGACTCTCGGTTTAAAGCTATTTTGCATGAAAAGTTTTAACTTCTTAATATTTTTGCGTTTCGGACATGTTTTGTGTGGATCATTTTGCAATTTCTGAAAAGTTAGAAACATGTTTGAATAACAATTTTTTAAATATTTTTGTTGTTTTCATAATTATTTATACGATGATTTGATTAATTGCAGATTGATAGTTAATAGCAAGAATTATTTTGATATTTACATTTCTAAACAGAATTTATACACGAGTAAAAAAAATTATATATATGTTTATATAGCCTATTTATACATATACTCCTATAATTTTAATATTTACACGTTTCCCCTAAGCTCTCGTATCCTCATTTTCTGTATATGCCGCCGTTTCCCCGTATCACCATTATTTTTGGCTGTGTTGTATAGGTTTAAAGATATTCCAAATTAATATTATTACACAATAATGAATACTAATTTTATCTGTTAAATTGTTCAAATATATTAAAGAAATTTTGAATACAAATTTTCCCATGCAACTCTGAGAAAATGTACCAAAATTACAAAAAATTAAATTAGCAAAATTATACACAAGACAAACAACCAAAAATCAACATACATCTAACTATCACAACAAAATTTTATATGTTATATTCATAACCGCGCGCGAGCTGCGATCCGCCGCAAACCGTAACGGTGCAATTGCCGGAGCCAAAGATGCCCGTTCGCCACTAGCCCGCCACCGTTCTTTCTCAAACATACGTTTAATAATAATCAAGAGCCACCATATATGTATTGCTCAAACATAAGACGTTTATTTGACTTCGATTTATCTTTTCATGATCAGACGAGCTGGCACGTAACTCAATCATTAAGACGAGCAAAAATAAATAAATACATACCATAAAGATGGCGTTCCCCACTAGTTTTTTCCCTCAAATAAAACGATTTGTCCCACATTAGTGAACCAACGGACGAGATTTAACGAGACCCCACCACAACCTCCATCACACAAATGCACCGGTCTCCATTTCTTTTTTCTTAATTTTCCTTTCTAGGCCAATCGCTATAAAACAAGAACCTCGCACGAGCAAGCAAACGAATGAAAGAATCGCCATATATAATATATTTCTCGTCCGAGTAAAATCTTGACCAAAGGAAGGGGCATGTGACCCCTGCCAACTGTCGTTTTGACCATCCAAACTTTCAATGGGTGCTGCTGCATTTCAATGGACCAAATTAATTTAAGCGATCGGGTCCCTCCCAACAGTTTTGCAATTACTACTGCAGGCTGCCTTGTGAATAATTCGATTTTCTTTTTTTTTCTCCTTTTCGGTAGAGCCTTCGGCTTAAGGAGATACTGGTAAACCGTAATTATGGAACGATCTAATTCTTCCATCCCATCCAGATGTAACAATGACTAGGCCCCACGCATGAGAGTCGGACGAACTCTGGCACGAATTCTTGAAAAATCTGTACTGGGATTTGCTAATTCCAGACATCAAACTAGAAGAAATCGGAAGCTTCTCCTCTGGCCAGGTGGCGTACGCTGACGACGACCCTTTGGTAATCGAGTCCAAGAAATAATCTTGGCTTAATGATAAAGAAGTGGATAGTGAGAAAGGCAGCGGTTTATTCGAACTCTCGTGGGGCCCGCTTGCTTTTATGCCGGGCCATGGTATGGCAACAGATGCGTCAGAGGAGAAACACTCGAACGATTTAACGGCTTTTGGTTGTAAGAATGAGGAATCTTCTTGATCGGCATATTTCCAAATGTAGACATTTGAATCTTCCGATGCTGATACAATGTGTTTCCCGTCCGAAGTAAACGAAGCAGAAATCTGGTTTCCACCATTTCTAAGGCCTGAAAATGCTTTAAATCATACACAATCAAATTTTTTTTTTTTTTTCCGTAAAATTAAAGAAGAGCGTTAAAAGTGTGTACCTTTGTACTTCCCAACCACATTTGTTCCGTCGATAATTCTGACTTTTGAATCAGCACAATTGACTAATATTTTGCTCGGATCTTGCGGTAAAAACTGCATTCACAAAAATTGACAAAAAGGGAAGCGTTTCATTTAGTACTCTCTGATCGAAACAGAATAATATTAGCAATCGTATGACATCACTCGGAACGTACCTGAAAGCCCGTTATCCTTTTGCACGGTGACTTCTTCTTACCCGTTAAGCACATTTTAGCTCCCAATTCGAACTGATGGTCTGATAATAAAAAAGCAACAAAATCCCTTCAAATCTTATTACAGAAGCTTTTAGAAATGTTCGAACAAGACAAATATACTATGTTAACCGCCGAAATAGAAAAGGGTCGTACAGAAACTCAACAAAAAAATTACCTGATAAGTCAAAAAAACGACAGGTGCCGTTTACAGAGCCTATAATACCACCCTGCATTAAAAACATAAATGAATTAATATGTCTTATTACACTCTATAAAGTTATAGTAATAACAAGCAAAGGGTAGTAGTATAAACAGACCTGACCATCGGGCCGATACGAAACAGCAGTGATAATGTCTTTCGTTTCGGTCCAGTCGACAACTTTACAACAATCGGTCGCCCAAATTCGAACCTTCCCATCTATCGAACCACTGATGAAGTAATCATCGTTCACAGGGTTAAATTGGATGCAGGTCACTGCATTTCATTAGATTTAAATTTTTTCTTTCAGACAAACGAAAATCCGAGTACTACGATTAAAACAAGAATTTACTTAATTTAGCGTTTTACCATAATCAGAGTGCTGAAAAACCTTCAGGCACCGATCAACTCCGACTCGCCACAAACGAACGGTTTTATCAACCGACGACGAAAGCAGACACTGCAAAGATAATATAACAAGTTAAATAAAAAAAGTCAAGAGTTGCCTCGAAAAGAGGAAAAAGAAATGCAATAAAATTCAAAACATTTACATTGTTCTTCGACCAAGAAAGATCCATGATTTCATCGACGTGTCCTCGAAAAACATGCAGTGGCTTCTCGATAATTCGGAAAACTTTAGGAGGAAAGATAACACAAGCAGAGTCTTGTGTTCTTCTTAGACTTTTGAATTTGCTATTTTTTTCTTTTTCCACCATTAGAGGTCCCAAATCAGACAGCCGATTCATCGAGAAGTAGACACACGAAGAATCCGAAACTGGTATGTCAGTTGTATCGGATCTCTCATCTTCCGTTATTTGCCACACTCTGACAACCTTATCTTCACCTGCGCTTGCTAAATACCGTCCGTCGTTACTGAATTTCATTACCGAAATCGAACCGTCGTGGGCTTGGATATCTTGTCCTGTGAAAAGGGCTGAAAGCTCTTTCGACCTATTTCTGTTACGACGAACCCTAACTCTTCGAACCCTTCTTCTTCCCTGAGCTTGAGTCAAACAAACCGAGCCCAGATTATCATCTATCACGTTCTTACTCGTCAGACAACTCAACGAATGCAATTTACTCAACCACCATTTTTTCAGATTTTTCTTTGTTCTTGGTCTATTCATATCAACCTCGTTTCCCGCAATCTCATCTGCATCAAATTCACCACCACGACTGCAATTCCCACACTCGCTCGAATCCACCCCACGGGGCGAATTCGAATCATCTGTATTCCAACTTGACATAGACGAACGGCTCGAAGAAAATTCATCTTCAATACTTATCGATGTTCTTAGCACAGCACCACCATCCTCCATCATTCTACTAATATCACGATTTTCTCCGCCGAACTCGCCTACGGTGATTTCCATCCATCTATTGAACTTCCTTCTTCGCTCACTAACACTCTCGGGAGCACTTATCCACACATCATATTCCCAACTCCGAATTAAGGGACAATCAGAAACGAAATCCGGTTCTTGCTCTATGTGCTCTTGTGCGTCGAAAAAACGAGTTTCTTCGTCGTTGTTGCCCGAGTTGTCCATGAGTTCATCCCATTAATAAAAACTGAAACCCAATTGTGAAAAAACCAAATTTTTTAAGCCCTAGGCAATGTGCTTATCCCTTCCAATATAAAACCTTTTAAAGCAACAAAAGAGAACAAAATTTAGAGTTAATAAAAAATTAAGAATGAATAATAAACAAAAGAAGAGCACCACAACCAAGATTTCAGCAATTCCACAAATAAACAAATTAATAAAAAAAAAAAAAAAAATACAGTCCCGCGAGAACAAAAACAAAACACTAGTACGGATAAACAATATAGAAAATAACCAGTTGATCCAACATGGATCCCAATCCACACACATATATATAGATATACACATATATATATATATATATATATATATATATATATATATATATATATATATATATATATATATATATATATATATATATATATATATATATATATATATATATATATATATATATATATATATATATATATATATATATATATATATATATATATATATATACACAATAGCCAGTAAAACCCAGAAAAAAAATATCTTTTTTTTTGCGAGTGAGAGAAAAAATAGTGTGACCGCGAAAAAAAAAAGCAAAACGCGGCAATAATTTCGAAGCATTTTTTTCTCTCTCTCTAAAAAAAAGATGAAATTGCTCACATGGGTTTGATTCAGTTTGATGAGATAGAAAATGAAGCAGAGAGATCGTGGGGTTTGCTCTCTACAAGACTACACAACAACCGGAGCGAGGAGTGACCGTAAATGAAAAAGAGGAAAATGGGGAATAAATATAATTAATGGAAATCAATGGGTTGAATTGTGAATAAAAGAAAATTATGCCAATTAGTGTGTGTTGTGTGTGCGTGTGGACTAAATAGGCCAACTACCTTGACGACAAAATTCTTTTTAACTTTTTATTTTTTTTAATATTTCCAGGATATAATTTATTATTTAGGTCTCTCTTTATTATATATATTATGAAAAACGTTACATTATAATATTTTCGATAACTTTATACTTATTTCTAAACCTTATCTTCATTTATTTTTTCCCTCTCTCAAATTTATTTAACTTATTTTGAATTTAAACTGAACCCACAATTTTTTTGAAGTATTTTTTAAATAATGTATTATTATAATCAAGATTAATACGAATAATTCCTTAACATATAATTATAAAATTTATCATAATAAATTATTTTGTATTTATATTTTATGTGTATATAAAAATATCCAAATTTTCAATTATCTTAATAATAACTATATTTATTTACAAAGATAAGAACATTTCTCTTATATTAATATATTAATTAATGAGTAAAAGATTGAAACTTTCATAAATCTGTTTCTTTAAACTATTCTATTACACTCAATTTTTTTTATTTAAAAATAGTCAAATATTATATAAACATATAAATATTATTTTTAGTTTATTTAATATATAATTTTAGATTATTTTTTTATATGAAACTAAAGTAATTTGTAAATAATATAATAATATTTTTCGAAAAAAAAGTATTGTAGTAAAATAAGTTTGGCAATTATTATGTGTCATGTATTTTTTTTACCATTATGGCGATAATTTTTTTTATATTTGCAACCACCTGAACAACTTATAAAATCTAAAAATAACTTATAAGCTATATATCCAAACACTTTAATAATTTTTTTAAAATAAAATATAATAATTTATCAGCTCCTAAAACATCTTATCAAACATATGAACTCATAAAATATTTAAATAATTTTAATTAAACGGGATCTAAATTAATATACCAAAATTATTAAATTGAAGATTTGAACAAGTGAAGAGTGATTTTCCAAATGGCAAAAAGTTTATTCAGAAAAAAAAAAACAAAATGTTTTGTCATTTTTTTGGTCCAAATTGAAGGCTGGTCTCCAAGAATAAGAAGACTTCTTTTTTAATTCGAAGCAAATATTCAACACATTACTTTATTTAATTATGTGCACATATTAATTGGTTGCATATATATATTAGGCGTTTAATTACCTTTAAAAGAAATTATAGCTTTCAAATTAGGCTACGTCTAATTGTTCGTAATGGACCTATTAATGGTTCATTTTAATGATTTATATTAGTGAGTTGATACATCAACTAAAGTTGTTAAGAAATTTAAGCTAATTGTGTACGGTAAAGAGGGTTAATTAAGAAAAAAAGTCTCGAGACAACTAATTTTTGTGTCTAGGTTAATGGTAAGAGAGGTTAACAAAGTCAAAAGTGATTATTGTGCTTGTTTCCAATTAATCAAACAGCTTTTGTTAATGCTTTTGTCACATAATCTTATTCTAACAATTCTTTCCTTTGATTTTCCGACCAAATTATCACAGTTTTACAGTGTGTTCAGCACAGATACAGACAAAATCCAAACAAATTTAAAGCGTTTGAGCTAAGCTTACAAGTTGTTAAAAAAACCTTATAAGATGTTTCAGAGCTTAAAAACTCTTTCAACTCATTTTTACTTAAGATATTACAATGAGGTGGTGTTTGCAAATGATTATTTAAAAGCAAAAATTAGTGATTGTGAGTTAAGTCAGTTTTAAGTGCTTATTTCTAAAAGTTGGGAGTGTTTGCAAATATTCCAAAAAATGAACTTAAATGGAACAAAACATAATGATTAGGGTGCTTTTAAAAAAATAGCTTAAAACAGATTATTTTAAGAGAAGCAAAAGCAAAAGTTGATTTTGCAAACACCTGAAAACAAAGTATGGGCAAAAAAAATCTCATAATCACTTTCAAAAAGCGTTTGCAAACACCACCCCAGTAAAAATAACTTATAAAATTATTATCCAAACACTTTAAAATTATTTCTAAAAATAAGAAATAACAACTTATTAAGTTAAGAACTTATCTGATGTTTAAAATAAGTTTAACCTTAAATCTAGATAAATATGTAAGCTACTTTCTTGAGCTTGAATATTAATTAATTAATTAATTAATAATATGTATGTTAATTCGATGGTAGGAAAGTCCACCATTATTGTGGCCGACATATAACGAACTTAATTCCTCCAAAGAATTATATCAAACCAAATTTAAATAATTAATAAATAGTATTTATTATTCTTTAATAATTGCATTACTAAACAAATGTACAGTATGATCTGCCTAAGATTATTAATGGTTGTCACTGTTCTGCCTACACAGTCTCAATATTAGATCTAATACAAATTATCGAATATCTAACAATCTGATTAGCTAATTAAAATCGAAAAAATCGAGAAATAAATTAATTAAAAAAAAAAAAGAGATTTAATTTACATGATAGGGCAGCCAATCTTGAAATGCAGCCACAAGACGAGTTGTCTATTTTAAGTAAAATTCAATTTGGTTTGTTCTGGTTTGCTATCTATAATCCATTAATTATTTAATTTCACCTAAATTTATCGAAGAAATCGACAACTTGTCTCTCCGTATAATTAATTTCCTAAAATGAAAAATAGCTAACTTATATACAAAAGTTGCAATTGGATTGGATCTGAATTTAAAGATTCTCCCATTCTATAAAATGACCCACTCTATATTAATTAAGTGAATTTCTGTATCTCAAAATCTAGTATACATTGAAGTTGGTTGTGTTTAAACTTTAAATACAGTATTAAATATTATGTATTGAAAGTAGTGGCTGAATGAAACTTATAATATTTTAATAATAATATAATTAGATGTGGCAAATTAGATGCCAAATTAGATGAACAGAGAACCACATATTCATTCATGTGTCTGATTGAGAGTTCTTATGTAACAACGTTAGGTTAGTGAAGACAATATATTAAACTGAAATGATTTGTGCAGGCTAAAATTAAACAGTCAGGCACATTTTTTACCATTCTTCAAAAAACAAAAAGTAAAAAACTCAAAAATTCTCTCTACCCTTTCGATTTTCTTTCGCAAAGCCCGTGCAAATCGTCAACAGATCGGAGGTAATTTTTACGTTTTTACGATCCTCTTGTTATGTAGATTACGAATCCGAAAAAAAAAACGAAAAAAATCGAGCTTAGCAACGCTCGTGTGAATTTACACGAGCGCAGCCACTTCGCTCGTGTAAATTCACACGAGCGTGAATTAATTTTTTTTTTTTTTTTTTTTTTTTTTTTTTTTTTTTTAAAAAATTTATTTCTTAAAAAGGGGATGTGGATTTTTACTCGGTGGAATTCAACCGGACCGCACCTTGCGGCTCCTGTCAACTAGGTAGGGGGCAATTAGAAGTTTTTTTTTTTTATAATTGATATATGGGAAATCCTCGATTTTGGTTGTATTCATGAATACGGAGACGGCGCTTTTGATT